CGAATCCAAGCGTGTATAGCAGCCGAAGGTGGAGCAACAAAATATTAAATTTTTAATAAAACATGTAAAAAATATTCGGAACAAGTAAATTTTCATTTATTTTAAAAAAAATATTAATATAAATAAATAAATGTAAACGGTTTTTTAATCGTTCGGAAACCCGTGATCACCCTCTGTATATATTACTAATCGGTTGTTACAGTCGGTTCTTTCCCCAGTAGATTTATATATATATACACTTGACATTTTATTTCATTCAGCAACCAACTGCGATGTGCATTGGATAAATATTTGTAAAATGTCAAATTTATTTTTTTTTTTATCAGTGTAAGCGACTCTCATTGACAAATGAAAGTGGAGGAGTTCAACTAATTAAATAATTAAATTTTTTCTAGATATATATTTTCTTTCAAAATAAAATGCATATTCTTTTTTACAATTAAAAAATACTAAAAATGTTTCTTCTTTTGTTATTACATTTCAAAAAATTCAAAACGCGTTCGAATTATCTTTAGTGCCCAAATTTGAAACATATCAACATCGGTATGTAGAGTAACTTTTACGAGTTTGTTAATTTGATGATTGTTGACTTTGGAATTAACTGCGCGTAATAGCAAATACACAATCATATTAATAATAAAATAAAAACGGGCTTGAGCTTTCTTTGGTGCCTGAGTTTAAATGCGCAGAAAACAACTTTTACATAATAGATAAGATTAAATAATAGAATCATTCTCGTGACTTAGTTTTTCAAATTTTTAAAAGCACTGGATGCATATTTCTCCAGGTGTAGACCATATTTATTAAAAAGCAACATGAAGTTTGATTTCTAATGTTATGTTTTAATCTGGCACACAATATGCAAATTTACTATCTAATTATCAATCATTATTAGTATTTTTATATTGGCTCTTTCACCAATATCTATGTTTTCTAGGAATTGCTACTTACAACAATTGAGAATTGAAAATTTTCTTGTACAAATATTAAAATTATTCAACTTTGCAAAAAAGATATTCTTTTGACACGACAATTTCTTTGAGTGCTCAGGCTCAAAGCATGGTTATGTTAATAACTTTTATATCATGTATCATTGGAATTGGTGATTATGTTATTGCTGTTATGTGGAAGTGGTGTTAATAATTAATTTATTGATTGATTGAATAATTTTTATTTTTATCTCTAACAAAGGAGCCAAGAATTTATGGAAATAAATAAAAGGAACATTTAGTAGAATGATTGTTTCATGCCAGATTGCTTTGGAAAATGTTCCTGGTATTTAATTGATAATATCATAATGATAACAATTACACAATAGCCTTTCAATTTTATACAATGTTAAGAATTATACACACAATTTTCTATGTTTTGGACTTTGATATTACACGTTAGCTGATAATCATGTATTTCTTTGCATTTAATTTTTAAATATGTCAACCCACTAATAAATATGCTGCAGTTGTGGATGAAAAAACATGATTATATGTAGTAACCATTCACGTAATGATGCTGTTTGGATATTTTCTTTTGCTCTTATAGCAGAATTTGAAGACTATTACTCAAATGTTCTAGCTTATTAAATGTGTTTAATTAATTATAGAATTACATATATTTATTCTTATATAAAAACATTTTTGTAAAATAAATATTTAATAGTATTATGATTATTATGATTGCTATTACTATGATTATGCTTGCCATTCCTCTTCATCTATATAATCATTTCTCCTCTCTCTTCCTAATACACTTCTCTTGTTGCTATTATAATTAATTAATCATTACAATTTAGGTTTGCAAAGATTACCACCATCAATAGTTACCAATGCACCATTAGTAAATGCACCAGCTTTACTCGCCAAATAAATACATGTGCCAGCAACATCTTCCGATCTACCAATTCTGCCCAATGGTATATTTGAGATCATCAATTTTTTATTAGCATCAAGAAATTTTTTTGTCATCTTTGACTCGAATGGACCTGGTAGCACACAATTAAATGTCACATTACGATTTGATAAATGTCCAGCCATGACTCGAGTTAAATGGATTAGTGCTGCTTTGGATGCAGCATAGGCATATGCTTCTGCAAGTGGGACCTTTACGCCTTTAATAATTTATAAATTAATATTTATTTTATTTCATATAAATTATAAGATATATACAGTATATGTCCTATAAATTACCATAAATAGAACTTATATTAATTACTCTTGAAGGATCTTCTGGCGTGGCAGCATTTTCTAATAATGGCATGGCACTGTTTCAATTTTATAAAAATATAAATATTATATTATATAAATATTATTACTAATAATAACATATTAAAAAAAATAATAATTACACTTGAGTTAAATCAAAGATTCTTTTAAGGTTCAAATTCATCACTTTCTAATTTTTAGGTGAAAGAGAAATAACATTAAGAAAATAATCAAATAAAATCAAAATAAAACAACCTTCAATAATAATAGACATTTACTTCAAAGGCTTTATCAGTATATTCATCAAAATTTTGAGCCCAAGCTACTCCTGCATTATTAATTAATATATCTAACTCTGCATGAGATATAATAATAATAATAATTAATAAAATTTTTATATCTATCAATATTTTTTCTCAATTACCAATTACAAACAACACTTACTTCCATTTTCTATTTTCTCAATTTCTGAAACTAATCTTTTGACTTCACTCAATTCTTGTAAATTTGCTGGTAAACTAATTGCTTCACCTGGACCTAATCATATTATTATTGTTATATGTTTAATTTTATTCTAATTTCAATTTATATAGTTGAAAAATAATTCTCACTATTTTATCAATCAGTATATATATATACACCTTGAGCAGTTAATTCCTTTGCAACTTTGTCACAAACATCTGAAGATCTTGAAGATATATAAACTTTAGCTCCATTAGATACAAATCCTTCAGCTATCATCAAACCGATTCTAACAAACATTAAAAAAATTTAAAAAACATTAGGAAAATAATAAAATTTATAAAATTTATATATAATAAGTTACCCCCTTGAACCACCAGTTATCAATACTTTTTTACCACTAATTCCAAAAAGTGATTTAATATCCATAATTATGACAATAATTATAACAATGATAACAATGATTTTTTAAAAAATTTAAAATTTCAAAACACAAAATTTAAAAGGTGTGTATTTTTAATTCTAATAATTCAACAAAAAAATCCGCAATTAGAAAAAAGTTTTACAGATGTTATATCAGAATATCCAATATAATATTTTCCTTTTTAATTATGGTATAAAAATGTATCAAGTGACAAAAGTTGCATATTATGAAATTTTGCACTTTTGTTATACAAAGTCACATGAAATCATGCAACTTTGTAGATAGGAAGGAACTTGGGTTTTTTTCAAAAATGAAAAAATCTTCTCTTTTAAATAGTTTACTCTTAGGCAACTGTGGATTCCACGTATATGAATTTTATGAAAAAATTTAATAGAATTACAACATTACAAAAAAAAAATGTGTATAGCTAGTTTTTAAATAGTAATTCTCAGCTATTTTTATGAAATTTTATTATTTTAAATTCAAAAAAAAACTTATTACAAATTATTAATTCAGTCTTGCATGCTGCAGAATAACAAGTTATCCAATTTTGTATAGCATTCATTACCTTTATGAAAAAAATTCTTGCAAAATGGTAATTATTTTTAGAAAATCTTTGTCCCGCCTCCATCCTTTTTTCAATTGTCTATAGAAATTATTTATTAATAAAATTATTTCTTTGAAATAAGTTTTTTTTATTTGGCTAATAAGGAAAAGTAAATACAATAGCTGATATATCCAATGGCTGACAGAAGGTCAATATGCTAGATCTTTACTTAACACGGGCAAAAAATTTTCTCCAGCACAAATTCAAAAAATTATCAAAAGCAAAAGCAACTAAACCTCGTCTACAAACTTCTATCCATGTAACTTTTTACAATATACATTGTATACTTTTACTATTTAGGAAAAACTGTTTTCCGATGCAAATTGGCAATATAATGATAATCATGTATTTTTCCGCAAAAATATCCGCAATCGCCAAATCAATTTCTAAATAAGGATAACACGCACCCAACCCACCAATAAAATTGGATATTTTCACGATGCTGCGCAAATTTGCGGATATTTTTGCGGAAAAATACATGATTTTAATATAATGGTCATTATTAAAAAATAATTCATCATCATTATTATTATATTTCTAAAAATCTGAAAACGGGGGGTTTTTTTTTAATTTAATACCAATATTATTAAAAGAATTTTTAAAAAATTAATGGACAATTTGGACCTTAACTTTTCGTTGATCGCTGGACCACCATTTAACATTGTATTTAAAGACTGAATTATGCAAGAAATGCAGATTTGGGATGTTCTCCGATTTATTCACAGATTAGCAATTAAAAACTTTTGGAAAAAACGGACATTGAAATTTTGACAAGATCCTACTATTGATTCAATGATAGGTACAACCAAAATGAACACTGACTGATGAGAAAACTCTTGATTGATTTTAATGAAAAGAATATTCAACATTTAGTTAGTGATTAGTGTGTAACTTATATAAAAAGCCGTGTAACAATTATGCAATGTAAAATAATAGTTATAAAAAATTTTATAACAGTCAAACACCCACCTAAGACTCCAACGAATCAAATCGAATCGAATTTTAGAATGATTCAATTTGATTCGACTCATTCTATAGTCAATTCAATTTAATTCGAATCAAACCGGATTCCTAAATTTTTTTAATGTCATATTAAATTTATATTACACAGTGAACCTCAATATAATGTACCTTGATTTAACGGATTGAGGTTTAATAAAGATAAAATTCTTTTCAATATAACGAACTTCTTGATACAGTCATACCTTGTTACAGCGAATTATACACTACCGTACAAAAGTTTGTGAACGATTTTTTCGTTAATTATGCAGAATGCACATAATAAAAATACATAAAATTTCAACATTAGATAGCCTATATTCTTGTTCGTTCCGTTATTTCTAGTACTTTATTAATTAAAAAAGAAGTTTTTGAAAAGATCTTCAAAAAGTCAAAATTGAAAAAAAAAACGACTAATATATAGTGGGCCACCCATAATTAGAAATGCATACCTCAATTCTTCTTGGCATACTTTCAAATGGGCTTTCTAAAGTTTCGTAAGGTATTCTTCTTTCACTGCAACTTCCAATTGGTAAATTTTTTGCCGATCGCGATTTAGATCTATGGTTGACCATGTTCGTTATAGCAAGCTAGATGTGTCACATGATAGTATCATATTTTAATTCGATTGTTTTTATCTAAGAGTTTAAAATAAGCAAATGGTATAATATGACTTTAAAAGTGAATGATCCTTTATTATATTTATTGATTAGAAAGCTTGTAAGAATTATTTTTATCAATACAAAATTATAAGACACTCTTACAAACAGACTTTATTGATTATCTTAAAAAAAAACCTATATATATATAATATAAATAAAAATCTTATCAATTTATATAGAAGATTTGTGGATAATTGATAAATAGATAAATAAATAGCCATCATAAAAATGAATAATTGAACCCAAAATCAAACACAACATTATATTCAAATAAAAATAAACTGTGAATTGTTACAAAGCTACTCAATCATTTTATTCTCAAAACAATGGTTGAGGACATAATCGTGTAGTTTTCCGCCTAAATTCATCCGCCAATTTGAATTCCCGTGAGAATATTCAACATCCGCAAAATTAAAATATCCGAAATTAATATTCAATTAAAGAAATGACAACAAATCAATGTCCTTAGTACACTATGACCTCGATAAGTTATAACAGATACATTTTGTGGATGTTCAAAATATATATTGCCCGGATATCTCATATGCCTGGATATTTTAATTTTGGCGGAAAACTACACGATTATGTTGAGGTCAGCTTGTTTAAAATTTTTTTGAATGACTAACCAAATTCGTCTATTTAAACTTTACTTCACCAAATTCTGGTTCTTGCTGATATAAATACTTTAAAACTGTATCTACTGACTCTTTGGCTACTGTATTACTTATTATCTCAATTTCTTCCATTTATTCAACTTCCTCTTCACTAATCTCTTCCTTCTGGTTTACCATTTCTATTATATCTTCATCAGTGAGGCCTGTCCAAACATTTTCATCTTCAATGTGAACGTATTCATTTGTCAAAAAATTGTTACCATTTGGTAACTTTTCAAGAATATATTATACAGTATGGGAAGAAAAGTCTTGCCCTCTGTAAATTTGCAATAACTCGGCAACCATTAAAGTAAATTGTTCATATAATGGCTCATTTAAATCTATAAAACATGTAAAATTTATTATAAAAATTTAATAAGATATTCATTCACCATTTTGTTCAATAACTGCTACACAACATTTCCTCATTGATCCAATTAAATTTTTTATAACAGAATCTGGAATACTTTCCCACTCCTCATTCATAAAACGTTTCAAATCATCAAGATTTTTTGGTTGCTATCTTTCCACATTGGTCTTGATGATATTCCATAGGTTCTCTATGGGGTTGAGGTCAGGACTATTGGATGGCCAGTCAATAACCTCAGGCACATTGGCTTGAAGAAATTCCTTGGCCACATGACTAGTATGCTTAGGATCATTGTCTTGCTGAAAGCACCAGACACATCCAAGCATTTGTTGAACCTCAGGTAAGTGCCTCTGAAGTATTTCAACATAATAAGGTCCTGTCATTATTTGCTGAAAACAAAAAAGGCTTGTTTTTCCTTTCATACAAAATCCACCCAGGCAAAATTTTTTACACAATTTTTTGGGATAGGATGAATTGGTCATGTGCCTTTATACCATTGTTTTATGGTGTTCCTGAACAATTGGAATGCTGTTTCATCTAAAAAAAGGGTCTTATTCCAGTTGTAATCAAGATGAGCACAAGCCCCATTCTACCCATCTTTCTTTATGTGCACTGGTAAGCATTGGGGTTGCTAATGACAAGTTGTTCATATAACCCAAGCTACCCAGATGCTTCGAAATGGTTCTATAAGACACATCAATACCTTTTTCAGCCAATTTAATTTCAATTTTTTGGGAAGAGAGAGAGGGATCCCGTCTTAAATACTGGCCAATTGCAATTGATGTTCCACTGGTAATTTTTTTAGGGTGACCACTACCTTTTTTACATTCAATGTTACCAGTTTCCTTTATTTTTTTAACATAGAATTTAATAGTTTGAAGCGGGATGTTTGTTTTTCTATTAATCTCTTGAGGAGACTGTATTCCTTCATTCTAGAATGTAAGATGACTTCAGGATGTGTTTTTTTAACTTGTGATGACATTTTAACTTGATTTACAAAAAATAATAATAATATATTAACTCAAGACTAAATATGAAAGTTGATGTGTTACAAGATGTTGTTTACATGTAATATTTTGTTTACATGATATTTATTAAGATCGTCAAGTCACGGTAAATTTTATCACACAAATACAGAGGGCAAGATTTTTCTTCCCATACTGTATATTTACTATAGTTTCGCTCTGTCTGAATTCTGGAGTTCTCCATGTGTATCTAAATTTGTTCCACAGTCATAGTATACTTAACTATTTAATATATGTTCACTGTCTTATGATTTATCATTGAAGCTTGACTGTTTCAATATATTAATTACGTTTACTGTCTATAACACTTCCAAGTCTTTCTACTCATCTTCATCATTAATACTGAAAGGTTCAATGATTGTTCTTTTTGGAAGAATACCAGTCTTTAGCCAGCAGTTAGGTATTGTTTGTTGTGATACATTAGACCATGCTTCCGTTACATTTATTAAAGCATTATATACAGTATAACCAGCAAGTATTTTTGTAGCATCATCTTGAAAATTATCATATGCTTTAATTTGGTTTTGAACAAATAGAGCCCTACATTGACCTTAGATCCCAACATCACAAGGTTGAAGAAAAGTTGTAGTATTTGGTGGAAGAAATTCAACATTTACATTATCAAATTGTTTTACAATTTCTTCAATAATAATATGGTGCATTAACAATTAGCAATAGGATATTTCTATTTTGATTTTTCATATTCTTGTTAAATGTGAGGAGAATTTCATCAAAAACCCTAAGTTGCATCCAAACTGTCTTATTCCAATAGTAATAAACAGGCAAGTTATTGTAATTTAAGTTTTGCATTTCTTGGGTCTTTGATATTTATGAATAAAACTAAGTTTTATCTTCTCTGTTCCCAGAGAATTTGCAGCACAAAAAATCGTCACTCAAGATTTAACTTTTTTTGTAATCTAATAGTTTAGCACAAGCCAAAACTCATGAAGGTTCCATCTTTCAAAAGAGGCCAGTTCATCACCAACAAGTTTCTGTAATGAAATTCATTCATTTTTAATTGTTCAGCAGATGGTGCATCTGCAGCTTCACCTTGCTTTTTGAATTGACAGAATCTGTAGTAATTTTTTAAAGCATGTCAACTACCCATCTGGTGAATTAAAATCATTAATTGAAAACTGAGTTGCAAATAGGTTGCTTTCTCTTTCAAAATATTGCCAGTAATGTCTTGTGTTTGCGCATTAAGTGCATTATTAACCCAAATATTAAGAGCTCCTTCAAGTTGTGGCCACTTAGATCTGCGAAATTTTTTCAAATCATTTTGTTCAATTGTAATGGCAAGCCAATGTTCTTTCTCTTTTAAGATATTAGTCACTGTCGCTTTCCCAATATTGTATCGACTGGGATTACTTTTTTTTTGTCTCACAAAGTTTGCATTTTTGGGCAGCAGAAAAACTTGTTCTTTTTCGAGTTGACATGTTATTTACTAGCAATATATTAAGTATGTTTCGGTATCAAAATAATCTGGAAATTAAGGATATTTATAATAAAGTAATTAACATTACTACTACTAATCACGCAAATTCTTTTTTTTTTTAAAAAAGCCATAACATAATATCATTAATACTAATTGATAATACATAAATAAATGAATACTGGAATATGGAATATAATACCATTATTATTTTAACAATAATTTTATTGAATGGTTTTGTACTGGGTGGCAAAGGTTACGTTTTTTTTTTATGCATTATGGTACACATAATATTACATGAAAATTCGTTATTATTATAGGAGAACAAATTAGATCAAAAAGGTGAATTCGGATACGTTATTAATTATAAAATTTCGGTTGTGACGATTTTTGTTCGCCATATCAAGAGTTCGGTATGGTCAAACTGTAGCAAAAAATCAATTATTATAACGGACCCCGGTGCAGATCATTACATTATTTTGGTAGTACAAGTGTGACTTTAATCACTTTGGGCCCTGAAATTTCTTCACAGTTAAAAAAACTTGCCAATTTCCATTTTCACAAAACATTTCCTCAATCAAAATTTATATTACCTCTTTTCATTCCAATCAATCAAAATAAAAAATTATAATAAAATGTCTTCTTCAAAAAGTAATGTTGTTGTAAGTGGATCAACAAAAAATGACCGTAGTACTATTAGTAGTGGTGGCAGTGGCAGTGGTGGTGGCGGTGGTGGTGGTAGTGGTAGTGGCAGTAATAGTAAAACCAAAGTAGATTATAATTACATTTGTGGAATGAGATATAAACATTTACCACCAATATCAGGAGGCAGACGTAGTTTATATAATTTACCATATACGCTCATTTCAGAAATAGACACTTTAGCTATTGAAAATGAAAGAACATCAAATGTATACAATTCAAATAGATTACCATCTTTGACAGATATGCATATGGGCATGTCAATAGATGATGAAACAATCCCACGTATTTGGACAAATGACTGGAGTCAACTTAATCCTAAAGGTGTTAGTGTTGGTATTGGCATTGGCGGCATCGGTGGTAGTTCGCAACGTGAAATGCATCATAAAGATAAAGAGTTAATGGCACCTGCCAAACCTTCAGAAGGTAGTGGTACTAATAGTAATAAATCGGAAATTTTAATTAGGTATCCTGAAGAACCTAAAAAATGGTTACGCAGACAACAACTTTTAGCTGGTGATGAAAATTTGTACAGAGGAGCTGCACCTAGTAGAATGGAAAGTCGGTTAGTTGAATTTTTTTATTCTATTATTTGTTGTAAAGAAAATTAATGAATTAATGAATGTACACACACACACACACACACACACACACACACACACACATATATAGGTTGGCAACAGATAAAGTGGATAATGATATTTTACATCAGACACATGAAGAGCAAATAGAAGCGATAGAAGAATCATTTAGTGTAGTCAACGATCCAAACTGGACAAAAAATCTTAAACATCCACAAAATCCAGATCTTAAACCAGTTGAAATACTACCAGTTTTTCCAGAATTTGAAATTGTCAATGGAAGTCTGTTGGCCGAAATTAATTTTGATGGTGAAATACGTGATCCAAATGATTCATCGGACGAGGAGAAAGATGATTTTGATTATCGAGTAACAAAATCTTTGTTGATTCCAATGTCAACGGATCAAGAAAAATTCTTGATGATGTATGTGCCAAATAGTGATTCGGCGAAAAGAAAAGATACAAAAAGAAAATTCGATGAATTGGATGATTATGAAATGTTTCAGTATCGATGGCTTAGGGATTATGCATTCTCAAATACACCATTGGGTGTGAACGATGAACCAAATGAACAAATTTGGTTGGAAAGAAAAATTAAAAATGGTGAAAAAGAGGAGGTACAAATTAACACGGCACCGGTTCGATTCAGAAGTGAATTGAAGCGTAGATGTCTTGAAAAAAATGAATTGGGTAGAAGACCTGAATTCTATGGAAGAACGTCAACTATTGATGTTCATTTTATTGAACCTAAAGAATGAATGAATTAATGAATATGTACAATTGAAAATTATTTAAATTTCCGTTTTTAAGAAAAAAACATTTTTAATATTTTTAATTAATGTTTGCTTAATTTTCATTTTATTATTTTCAAATATAATAATGTTAATAAAAATAAAAAAAACCATCGTTTTTTAAACTAGTTCGCTATTTATATATTTATATATATATATAATATTGTATTCTTTTTTCCCTTTTTTTTTTTTTTTACTAAAACAAGAGTAAAATTTTCATTACGTACTAAAAAAAAAAATTATATAAAACAATGAAAAATTCATATGATTTTTTTTAAAAAGTTATTAAATTATTAGCAACAAGCAAATATATATAACTAACTACAAAACAAAAAAAATAATAACAATAATGCTATGTTATTAAAACCTTTTAATTGTATCCCTCTCTAATTTCATATATTGATTGATATAAAAAAAATCAAGAAAATTAATTAATTAATTATAATTATGAATTTGTATATATAATTATTAATTATTATTATTTTTCCACCAAGCTCCAACATTATCTAAATTTGGTTCATTACCGTTAGCGTTGGCATTGATTTCCCCGCCTCTCATATTATTATTAATATCGTTATTTTGACTCCAGGGTTGTCTTCCACCACCACTATTAGCACCATATCCACCACCACTACTGCCACCATATCCACCTCCACTATTAGCACCATATCCACCTCCACCACTGCCGCCATACCCTCCGCCACTGCCAGAACCACCAAAACTATTGTTATTACCATAACCGTTATTATTATTATAACCTCTTCGTTGTTGATAATCTCCTCTATCACCACCACCGCTGCCGCTACCAAATCTTGATTGTTGTTCTTCACAATAACGGGCAATATGATCTGAAGAACCACACTGGTAGCATTTTTTTGCTGATGATGAATTATTACTACCACCACCCATCATATTATTGCCTCCGCTGCCACTACTGTATCTAGATTCATAAGATTTAAAATGATAATCGTTGCCTCCACTCATGGCACCGCCAGCGCCATTACGATTTTCATATGTTGAAGATGAATATTGCTGCTGCAATGGTGGTCTATTATTAATATCTCCTCCCCTATTGTCTCTTCTACTAGATTCAGGGCAATTTTTTGAAATATGGCCTTTTTGGTTACAATTATAACAAAGTGGTACATTGTTGTTGTTATAAGTGTTATTATTATTGCTATTGCTCATATTATCTTTTGGTAATCCAGCATTAGCCAGCCATTCATAATTTTCCGGTTCACTACTTGCTATTCTTCCCAATTCTGGTGGAACGCTATTTGGTGGACCAAAAGTTATATAAACAAGATATTTTTTATCGCAATTGCCTTGTAAATCAACCAATGATCTTGACGTCATAGAAGCAATATTATTAGTATGGCTTTGATCCAAAGCCAAGAGTTTTGCATTAGATTTTGCACTTCTTAAATCTTTCGCGATTGATTGAAATGTCTCGACAGGTGCTGCAGTAGTGTATTCTTCAAAAATTCTTTTGAATTTTGGTAGATCGTTTTCTGTTTCTGCTCGAAGTAACTGATCCCATAATGCTTTGGCATTTGGCCTTCCTGAACCATTTCCAATACCTTGATATTCCTTATTTGCACCGCCTCTACCATATCCATTACTGTGACTATTAGTTACAGCTATAAAAAAAAGAAATAGGAATTAATAATGTGAATTTACATCATTGCAATAAAATAAAATTTATATCATCCTAGTAAATAAATAATAAATTAATTTACCAGGAGAGATATTGTTGGCAGTGGTAGAATTAGTTCTTCCATCATCTATACCTATTCGAACTTTGGGATCAACATTCAATTCTTGTTCAAATTTAGCAGCTTTCTCCAACCAACCCTCTTCTTTAACTTCATTTTCCCATGATTCAACACCTGTTGCAACTGGTGCAACAGCTGGTGTAGCAACTGGTGGTGTTTGTGGAGGGAGTTGTTGTGGAATAGGTTGCTGTGGTTGAGGGGTATTGCCATCGATCCACCCTCTCTGACTATTGCTGCTAAAATTAGATGATGGTGCTTGCTGATGTTGAACAGGTGGGTGAGGAGGAGCAATTAAGTCACGGTTTTTTCCAGAGGTATCCGAAATGCCGTTATCGTTATATTGGTTTGGTTGTTGTTGCTGTAATGGAGATTTTTGTGGTCCATTATTCCATGTTTCGGCACTTTTTACGACTGGAGCAACATCTGATGTAGCAACTGGTCCTTTTCCCCAATTAGATTGTTGTTGTTGAGGAATATTGCCATCGATCCAACCTCTCTGGTTATCGTTGCCAAAATTAGATGATGGTGTTTTTTGATGTTGAACAGGTTGGTGAGGATGAGCAATTAAGTCGTCTTTTCTAACAGTATCCAAAATTTCATTATCATTATATTTGTTGTGTGTTAGTTGCGGAGATTTTTGTGATGGTTGTTGAATTACTTGTGGTGATTTTTGATAATCATTATCATCAAATCTAATAAGATAACTTTGTGAGGTGTCTTTTAATAAATCATTATTTATATTTGAACTATATGATGGTGCAGTAGTAACAGCAGCAACATTATTATTAATCTTGGTAATTGGTAGAGAAGTTTTTTGACTTTCAGTGAAAACATCGATAAATTGACTTAATTTTGATGGAGGTATAACTTTGTTATTTGGTAGAGTGATGGTGAATAAATATTTTTGCTGCATAAGATTAATTATAGTTAAATCGATATGATCAGGGTCTGTTTGAGTTGTGGCATCATTAAATCCTTTTTGAATAGCGGGACTCTTGTCTTTTTGTAAATCTTCTATAAAGCGGGAAAAGGATTTGAAAATTAGAAAGAAAAAGTTTTTTTCCATCAATAAATAAAATTATAAAATTATAAATAAAGTTACTTGAAGCAAATGTTGGTTGTGAATCAATAACTTTAAAAGTTGATGGTTGTAATGGTTTAGTAGATGATGAAGTTTGAACGTTATCATAACTTGGATCCCATGCATCGTCATTATATACAGACATGTGATCTTTTTGAAGATTTCGATGATGATCGTTAGCTACTAACTATTTGATTAAATAATAATTGAATTGATAAATAAATTAATGATAAATGTAAAGAAAATAAAATAAATAATATGATTAATCAATCAATTAATTTATAATAATAATAATAATAATAATAATAATAATAATAATAATAAAATTGTTATTGTTGTTTCATTATCACACGTACATTATTTTGATAAGATGGGGCTGTTTGTTCAATTGAATTTTTAAGAAATGCGCCATCATCTTGAGTTTTTATTGGCAAAGAAGGTTGTGAAGGAAGTATTGGTGATTTTGATTGATAGTATTGTTGAGTTTGTGGGACTGGGATTTGTTGTTGTTGTGTTTGTTGAACGGGAGGAACAATTGGTTGTTGTTGCTGCAATGTAGGAGGAGGAGAAACGATAGATGTTGGTCGTTGTGGTAAAAATGATTGTTGCTGCTGTTGTTGTTGTAAAGGTGGTGGAGGTTGTTGTTGTTGTTGTTGTTGTAAAGGTGGTGGAGGTTGTTGTTGTTGTTGTAAAGGTGGTGGTGCTTGTTGTTGTTGTTGTTGTAAGGGTGGTGGTTGTAGCTGTTGTTGTTGTAAGGGTGGTGGTGGTGGTGGTTGCTGTTGTAAAGGTGATGGTTGTAGCTGTTGTTGTGGAGGTGGTGGTGGTGGTGATTGATATCGAGAGAATTGGTTTTGTGATGGTTGTTGAGGTGGTGGTGGCTGAAAGGAAGATTGTGTTCGTTGCTGTGTATATTGTGTTGTTGATCGAGTATCTCCAGAGGTGGCAGGCCAAGAAAATTCAAGGTTTTTTTCATCGATTGGTGCTTCTCCCCAACCTTCGGCCATTTTATTTATTTCTTTATTTTGTAAAATTCTAAATAACAATAATTATTATTTCACTTTTTACCTTTCTTCTTTAAAAGTAAATTTAAAACCTTTAATACGATATTTTACCTACTACTATTAGTTATTTTTCAAAGTTTGAAAAGAGAAAATTTTAAATTTTTTATCAATGATTTTTTTTTCTGATATATTTAATTATAAAGATGCAGATGAAATTAATATAAAATATTATTATTATTATTATTATTATATATTGTTATGCATGGCAATTTTTTTTTTCCGAAAATAGATCAACATTTTTTTGAATTGAATGAGAGATCTACCAAATTTACCAATTTTTTTGTCAATTATGTCAACTGAAATTTCAATACTGTTTTGATATAAAGTTCCTTTAAAAATTTATTTTCTACAAGATATATAAAAATATACAAAAACAAATATTAACCTTTAATATGATGCGAGCGAGGAGTAAAGAAACATGATTATTAATCAAAAAATATTTTCTTATTGATCATATTAATATGTATTAGGGTTCAATAACGAGATTATATACCTGTAAAGCTTCTTTTTACATCATCGTATTTAATATGTATTAGGGTTCAATAACGAGATTATGTACCTGTAAAACTTCTTTTTTATATATATATACAAGTATTAGGTTATGTAGATCATAAACTTAAAGAACTTTTTGTCAATTATCCTTTCGTTTTTTTTTTTTGATTAAATAAAATTTACTTTATTACTAATTTATGCTATTAATTAAATAAACAGGCTTTCTTTGAATATATTTGATCATAATAATAACGTTATTATTTAATATTATATATTTCGTTACTTTCATAAATTATTGGCATTGTTTTTAAAAGAGGAAATTAAAAGATCGCACACGTTCACCACATCTATTATCATCCATCATTATCATATTCTCTTATCTGCAAATGCATGTGCAACAAGTTGGATACAAATATAGACTTACTATTATTAGATATAATAAAAAACCATGTTTTTTAAAAAAAGTTCACAGATAAACATTTGCATGTAATAGTTTCTAGAACGATGTCTAAATATGGTTAGTAACTCCAACTATGAACTATAGCCTTAATGAACAAGAATGTTTATTCACGGTTGATGGTTTAAAAGTTTACCAACCCTATTTTTTCTTGCAAATGTATCAACAGGATGTGTTGGATATATTATTTAAATATATATCAAATTTCTATTCTATTTATAGATTTCATATTTATTGAATGAAAAATGAAACAAAATCACGAATACGTATAATCACCGCAGACTTATAATGCATTGCACAAGAACAACCATGTCATGTCATTCATATATTGTCTGGAAGGAGGTAATGATTCGGCCGGTATTATTAAAGCATCTACACCAAGGACAAAATTATTACGCCAATAATGCTAACTATAGAAGAAGAAATATTATCATCACCATTATCATTGATGTTATATACACAGTCAGCGCTCGATATAAAAAACTTCTTTATATCGTACGATTTCACTATATAATAGGATGTCGAGCGCAAATTGCACTCATTATTTGACTTTTAGGGTTCAAAACGCAATGAATTGAGTCGGATTTTAAAGCGATTCGAGTCAACCCACATTTCTAATGTCACATCAAATGAATGGGTCATTCTGCAATGAAACCAGACAAAGTAAACTGATGGATATTAATTACACTTGATAATATATTTGAAGGCTTTTACGATTTATCCGGGTGTAAGAATTGAAATCAACAAGAGAAAATTATATAATAACAATAAACATTTTAAGATGTTCTAAATCAGCTTCGATTTTATTGTTGTACTGGCGAGCGTGGAAGAATTTTACAAGGCGTATGCCGATTGGAACAGTAAAAGTGGCTTGGAATGTTGAATTTAGAAATATCATTCACTATTCAAAAAGATATTCCATCAAGTTTACCAGTACAAGAAGTTGTGTAAGACAAGGATATAGCAGTAGATTTGGTAAAGAATTGAAATCATAAAGCTTAGCATAGGCCCAGAATTCGAATTTAAGTTTAAGCTCTCTTGTTGTATAGAAATAAATTCAACATTGAATGCTGAATGTTTAACATTGAATTTTTGATGCGCCACAATGGACCTTACCACAGCCGATTATAATTAAATTTGTATTGTGGAGGATTTTTAACATTATCGCTCGTTAATATTAATGTTATATATTAATATTAAATTAACATTAATATATTAATATATAAATCCGTTACTGTACATGAAATTTCCTTTGCTATTATACGCAGTTGTGTGACATAAATAAAATATCTAATATGTAATATATAATAATAATAAATGAAAAATCGTTTTATCAATGTAAAAGTTGTGATAAAAATCATTGATAATGAAATTATAGAGGTTTTAGCAGTGTAGCGGGACAAATTGTCAGATATCTACAATAGAAAACCTTTTTGTAATTTCTTGTACAACGTACAGTTCATTCGTCATCAATTGTTTGTTACAATAATAAGGGAAATTTCCGTGAGAAGTTTTTAAGTTTTGATTATGTATTATTATTATAATCCAATTTATATATAAATTCACTTTATCAAAAATTAAAATTTTTTTTTATTATAATAATAATAATAATAAAATGCAAATTTATGGTCTTATTTATGTTTCTCCTGATTCACAAGAGAAACTAATCCCTTTACAAAATGTTAAAGTTGAAGCAAATAGTTTGTATTCATAATTAATAAAATAATCAATTAATAATTATATTTTTTACTAATAATATTCCTTTTTTGGATTTTAATAGTTGTTGATATGATTGCTGAAGGTAATTAACAAGCAAACAAATATTACCATGTTTAATGATGACATTTGTTATCATTTCTCATTAATTATTTTTTTATTGTTTAGTTGTAATTTATCAAACATATAAAAATGTAGAAGATAAGAACATTGAAGCATTATATAAATTCCCAATTTATGAAGCTGCAGCAATTTGTGATTTTGAAGCAGAAATTGATGGCAAATATAAAGTTAAAGGTGTTGTGAAAGAAGCAAAACAAGCTGCTTCTGATTACAATGAAGCTGTTGAGGTAAATAATCTATAATCTATATGTGGATTAGTTAATAATCCAATTAATGACTATTATTATTATTATTATTATTATTATAGAAAGGATATAGTGCTTATTTACTTGAAGAACAATTATCAGATGTATTCCAATGTTCAATTGGAAATCTAAAAAGTAATCAGACAGTAGTTATCAAAATCACCTATGTTACTGAGCTTAAACATGACTCAGAGAATGAAAAAATACGATTTGTTTTACCAACTTGTATTGCAGAAAGATATGGGTCTTCTTCTTCTTCACCTTCAACAATAACTTCAACAGCTAATGATGGTAAAAAACTTGTACCTGATGATGTAAAATATTCTGGGGAAGCAAATTATAAACTGGATCTAAAAGTTAATTGTAGAATGACCTCAACCATTCAATCAATTGAGTCTCCTTCTCATTTGATCTCTACTGAATTAAATGTTAATGGCAATCCCAAAACTTCTAATGTTACTTTGGCTGAACAAATTACTTATTTAGAAAAAGATTTTGTTTTAGTTGTCAAGAGTGAAGATCTTGATAAGCCAAGGTAATTTTATTTAATTAATTGTTTATATGGGTATTTATTATTATTATTACAAATGTTAAGAAATATATTTTTATTTATTTATTAGGGCATTTCTTGAATATAATCCTGAAACAGAATCTAATTGTTTAATGTTGACATTAGTTCCAAAATTTTCTTTAAATCCAATTCAAATAGAAATAGTTTTTATAGTTGATAGGTGATTTATCATTCATTCATTTGTTTGATCATTTTTTTCATGTCAAATATCTAATAAATAAATCACATTAATAATATTAATAAATAGATCAGGATCAATGCAAGGTGAACCAATTAAAAAAGCAGGCCAAGTATTAGAACTATTTCTACATTCATTGTCAGAAGATTGTTACTTTAATGTGATATCATTTGGTAGTAGTCATGATTCACTATTTCCAAAATCTCAAGAATACTCTCAAGAAACATTGGATAGAGCCATC